AGAAAGGCAAGAAAACAGGGACATTAAATCCTTGCTGTATGTGTGGAGGGGAGGAGGAGGGGAAACAATAACCCACAGCAGACAAGGACTTTAAAAGGTACATAAGACGTAGGTAGTTGTTTTTTTCTTGGTCATAATCATAAGTGATCCATTTAAAATTGTCCCTGTTTTTGCCGAATTATATAATGCGAAACGAAAAACACTAAAGGGAAAAACTATATCCTCCCACTATCCTTGTAAAAGATTGCCATTAAAAAAAGAAGAAGAAAAAAAAAACAAGAACGCGCTGACATAGTTGGCAGTTGGAAAAACTAATCGAGCATTACCTCATGGCTGATTGGAAGCAATGCCTGTGTAGTACAAAAGATATACATATACATACATACATACATACATACATACATACATACATACATGCATACATATGTAAATGTCTGTGTGTGCTATGAACACAATGTCCAGAACGCCTGAATGCCCAAGAATAGTTTTACAAAATTTTAGCCCCGCCATTGATAACCAGTGTAGTCTAATAATTGCATTTTAAGTACCATTGGGCCTATATTGTACCATTTTTTTCCGAACAGCCTTACCTCATTGTTCATCGATATGTTCAATGTTTGTCCAGCGGCAATTGGGAATTCCAGTTTTTTTGTGTCCATCCTTTTTACAACATTGCACTTCACACATTGTATAACAGTTGCAAATAATTACATTTTATGCAACAACAGAATTCAGGACATTGTGGGAAATTTGTTTAGGGTAAGGGAAACATTTGAGGGGAAGGAAATATACATCTAAGACTGTTTGAATGAAATCAGGTTTAAACATCAAATACCCGATAATCAGAACTTTTTCCAAGAAATGTAACTCTTAATATTGAAATTACATGACGTTGGTTCCACGTTGGGCGCCATTTTGTTTGGTGCAGTATTATGAGTCCCAATTGGAATATCCGCTCATAGCCACAGCCGCGTATACAGGGAGAGATAAAAAACCGCAACAAAGTCAAACGACATAATTTTTATATTTTTTATACCCTACACCACATAGTGTTAAGGGTATTATGTCTTTGTGCATTTGTTTGTAACATGGAGAAAGAAGCGAGATAGACCCATAGTTACTTTTGAGGATATCCATAGAATCACTTTCTGAGTCTGTCTGTACGTCCGTCCGTGCGTCTCTCCATGTATTCTTGCGTAAAAAATGGAAGTAGCATTTATTATCCGATTGAGATGAAATTTTCCAAACAACATTTGTTTGGCCCAAGAACGAACCCTATTGAAATTGGAGATAATCGGTCAAAAATTAGATATAGCTCCCATATATATCTTCGACCGATTTGCCTTTCATTGTTTCATTTTATACATACAACCAAATTAGGCCTGAAAATAAGTATGCCAAATTTGATCGAAATCGGCTCAGATATAGCTATAGCTCCCATATATATTCTTCATCCTATTTGTTATTTTTGTCCTCCGAACTTTGTTATTTTTGTCCTCCTTTGAACTTTTAATTAAAATTATGTATGATTAAATTTTCCCATAAAAACTTTTAATTGTTATAAATTAGCAAAGTGGTGTAGGGTATCATAAAATTGGCCCGCCCGACTTTAGGACTTTCTTTACTGGTTTTTACATTTTATTCTTGATCAGCATTTAGCGATGTCCGTCTGTCCGTCTGTTTGTTGTAATCACGCTATCTTTCGAACGAATTGAAATAGAAGGCTAAAATTTCGCACACATGCTTATTTTTCCAGTAGGCAGGTTAAGTTCGTAAATGGGCCACGTTTTCATATAGCCCCGATATAACGGTACTTCCCGATATTCGGTATTTTGATGATTTTAGTGAGATTATTTACCGGAATTGTTTCAAATTCAGTATTTGTAGTTCGAAATGGATACTACAACCTAAGATATAAAATTGTCTGTGCAGGTCCATGTCTTCGTATAGGTCCCATTTATCAGTACCTCCCAATATTCGGTATTTTGATGAGTTTAGGTAACATACCCTCCGAAATTGTTTGAGATGTCGTATTTGAAGTTCGTAATGGATGTTACAGCCTATGACAGAAAATTGTCTATGCTGGTCCAGGTCTTCACACAGCTCCGATATAACGGTCGGGTTTCGCATTTGAATATGGTAATGGCTTATGACAAATTCATTCTAAATGGTGGAGGGTATTAATTTTTTTATTTGTTTTTTTTTTTTATTTTATTTTATTAAATGAAAGCAAAAACTGTCGGAAATAGCACGAAATTTAGATTTGTTCGAATTGGTCACCTTTGGCACGAATTATGGCCTTCAAACGGAAACCACACACACGCTGCGCGAATGTTGCTCTGCGGTATTTTGGGTCATTCTCGGCGATCGGGTTTCGATCAAGTCGCTTCTTTACTTTTCGAACGATTTCAACGTGGGACCTAAGTCAACTGAACTAATATTAAAACTTAGGGTACCGTTTAGAGGCGTGTGATAAGCGTGGATAGTTCGAAAGCTGGTCATTCGAAATCAAGTCAAATGGTTTGTGATTCAAATGGGTTAGACTTTTGCCTGGACATTGATCACCACAGTGATGCCTAACACTGGACAAAACAAAGCATTGCCAAGGCGTGGTCCACAACGCATAGGAACATTTAAGGTCCCATGATCTGCAACGTATTTAGAACCTTGCCTAGCCGTTTACCACAACCATGACGCATAGAAATGTACAGACCAGTATGGCGCCCAAAGGTTGACCCAAGTCTAAGAATCAAATATTTATTTCTTCAATATGAATCATTAAAATCGTATTTTATTCAAACTGGATGTGATATTAGATTCTTGGGTTTGAACCCCACGTTGAGCGAACTTTTGGAAAGCGGCGCTGATCAAAGCCTAACCTAGGAGTGTTGAGTAATGCAAAAGATCGTGATGCGACCAGGTTTGGCGACATTTTATTATACATTTAAGCTGCCTAAATATTAGGCTCATAAAGCAAGTGGATTAGACACCTTTCATGACTACAGCGATGCCTAATACTTTACCAAAAAATGGCCAACATGAGACCCAAGGCAAAAAACCTAATATGGTCTAAGAAAAACCTAAGAGACCAATGTTAAGAGTTTCCGTTCATGAATATGATTGGGCGCCATTTGGTTAGGTATGTTCACACAGGCCGTGGCGGTGATCCACCAATATGTCAAGTGGGTCAGGCCATTGACACATATTACTCAACAAAACAATATGGCGCCCAACGTGAGACCCCGGTCTCCCCCCAATATTAAGAGTCTTACTTCTCAAATATGGTTGGAAGCCATTTGGTTATGTATTGTTAAGTTTGGCTTTGCGGTAATCAACGCATAAGTCGCCACTCCTATGCTTAATACTTTTCAAACCATTGTGGCACTCAATGTGGGACCCAAGCCTAAGAACCCAATGTCAAGAGTAAAAGTTCTTGAATAGCAAGGTTTTGATTATTGAGTAGTTCATGTGAATTATGAGATACCTTATGGGCTTCTACGGTGATTAAAGTGAGTAGGAACCTTACCCAACAGAAAATCGTAGAAGACACCAGGTTGGGCGTCATTTTGCTATGTATGCCCATATAGGTCGCTCTGGCGGTCAACGCATAAGTCAATGGGGTCAGTTCCTTACCACAACGACTCATAACGCTGTTCAAAATAATATGGCGCCCAACATAGAACCCAACTCTGTAATCAATATTAAGAGTTAAATTTCTTGAAAATACAGGGTGAGACGAAAAAACTGCAACCAAATTCAGACTTCTGTCATTTCTAAGCCAGTCGTCTGACAGCTGTTAAAATTATTCCAGTGATACCTCATTATATCATCCACATTTCCTCATTCTCAAAATATTTGATTTATTAATAAAGCGAATAAAAGGAGGTTTTTAAACGAATTCTGGTTTCTGTAAATAGAAATGTGTCCTCTGGTACGAGTTAGAAAAATTCTATGATATTTGAAGACAGATATAGATGATATGAATGATGTAGTATAATATGATCTTAAAGTCCTTAAAACATGTTGTTCATGAAATCAACGTTTACCTAGCTATAAAGCGAAGTGGATGTGGCGCCCAACGGAAAAGGTGCCCAATAATGATTTTGATTGTTAACAACGTCAAACTTATGTTCTTAAAACTTCAAGAAAAAATGGCAACGAAAAGCATTTCAAACCAGAGGCTCAATTTTTTTTCAAAGTTTGCAAAGAAAAATTTGTTTAGAAAAAAAATTTGTTTTTCAAAATTCAAACACGTAATGCCAGAAATTTAAGATTAAAATATACATTGGTAAAATGGCCATATACCAAAATACAGACCTTTAAGAATGATTTTGAATGCTTATTCAGGACACAAAATTTATAATTGCAGTCAATTCCAATTTCGATGTTGTGAAGCCCTCAATAGAAAAATTATGTCAACGCCAATATCCAAAAGTCGATCCAAGACCACAAACTATATGGAATTGGTGATGCTATCGAAGATTTAGGGCAGCCCTCTTCCGATTTGGTTATGCAAAAAAAAAATTCTATTTTGGAGTTCTTAATCAATATTCCGCTTGCTACATAGATTTTCATAAATTTTATTTTCTCTCAAATTTTTGTAAAATTCTCAAAAAGTTGTACTGAAATTTCGTATAGTGTCCTTCCATTTGTTCTAGCCACCATTATTTGTTATTGTTTCACACCAAAAATGCAAAGTAAATGGCACAGTCAACTGAACGCCTACAGAGAGAGCGAGCTGTGTGTAAATATCATCATTTATCTTCCATCCAAATGCACACAAACACCAACACACTCCTACCTACATACGTACATAGCTATGTACAGACATTTGGCCATGTATTCATCCATCCATCCATCCATACATATGTAGATGTTAACCTTAGCATCCTTGGTACTTTTGTTACAATTTATTTATGTTTTTAGATTCTTGACGTCATAGATTTGCCTTTTCATTTACTCTCATGTAAAATAATGCTCTCTCTTTCTCTCTTCAGTAGTTACAATGCAGCAGCTGGCCAAAGCCTTGCTATTGGTTGGTCTCCTCGGCATTACGGCGCATGCCAAGACCATAGTCCTTGCAAAGGATAATGTGACGTCACACTTGATGTTACATGGAGGCGGTGGCGGCGACGGCGGAGATGGCAAACCTGCCGTAACTGCGCCAGCATCAGAAGCTGGAAACCTTGATAAAACTGTAGACCTTTCGACGCCATCGAGTGCAGTTGAAGATTGGAGTTTGGTGTGTCAACAGCTCTGCGGGTAAGTTGCTCTCATGGAGCCAACAAGCAAGAGGCAACAAAAACAACTACTCTCTGTGTGTGTGTGTGGAGTTGTGTGTTCGTTATAGAAAATGTCCTTTAAAAAGAGAAAAATAAGTGATTTAAATGCACGTTTACATAACTTCACAATTTTGTTTGGGTGAAAAAAAAAATTGCGAAAAATATTATCGAGTGTTTGAGAATTTAAAATCAAGTGTTGATGTGTGTCCTTATATTTCTGTGAAAGTAAAGTTTTCTAATTGAGTTTGTTTGTGTTTTTCTTTTTTTTTTATTTTTGCAAATAATTTTAGAGCTGCTTTAGGCGGCACCGCTTGCTCCCCCTATTGTAAAAATAAACCAGTTTTACCCACGAAAGTGCAAATCGAAAATGCCAACACCCTTCTAATGGATTCCAAGAAACAATTCATGTGCCCTCGGCTATGTGGATTACAGTTAGGTAAGTTTACAAATTTTTTAAACAGAATTTTGAATGAAAAATGTTTTCTGGGAGGTATTAAATCTTTAAATTAAAAATTGTTTTTTTTTACGACGCAAATCTGACAAGGTTTTATGAAGAAAAATCAGACAATTGTACTTTTTATAAGAAAAAAAAAAAAAACAACAACAAATGACTTTCACCTTAATAATTTATTTCAATTAAAACCTTAAAGAATTTGGAAAATTTGAAAACTAAACGAAATTAAACGAAATTAATTTTTTATTGATCGGAATGTGGTTATTTCTTTTAATTGAAAATAACCATTTTTAAGCGAATGCTCGTTTTCGTAAATTATTATACCCTAAAAAACTATGTGTTGGAGGTATTATAAGTTTGATTGGGCCAAAAATTATGTAACACCTCGAAATATTGTTTTTTTCACATAGGAAAGTATATATGGATCTTCCTATCTCGCCGAGCTGAGTCGATCTAGCTATGTATGTTCGTCCGTCCGTCTTTCCGTCTGTCCATGTTAATTTGTAATCACTCTACAGGTCGCAATTATGGCCCGATCCTCACGAAATTGAAAATGGAGGTGGGGTTATGGTCAGAATGGAACCCTATTGCTTTTGGAGATGATCGTAAAATATTTAGGGGTTGAAATTGAACAAAAACTGAAAAATTTCCTCTTTTTGCAGTTGCTCTACAGGCCGCAATTATAAACCAATCAAGGCGAAATTTTGGATGGAGTTAGAGTTTAGGGCTGGGCACAAGTCAACTAATTTAGATAGTCATTGGACAATATTTAACGGGTAAAATAACTCATAACTTTTATGTCAAAAAATTCGAAAAATTCACACAAAAACGGCGAATATTTTTAATCCCGGCCAAATCACAAATTTATAAGAAGGTCACTACTGACCATTACAGTGATGCTGATAGCCAAAAATATCGGATATGTACCGAGATAGGAACAATCTATATGTAAATGAAATTGATGTTAGTTATTCCGCTTATAAGTCAAGAAACGCTGGACGGATTTTGACAAATTTCACTAATTTGCAATGGGCTCTTGCCAGAAAAGGGTAAAATCTAAGAAAATTGCGTAAAAATCGGCCAACAAAAGAGTTAAAAGTTTTCGTTACATTTTTATCAATTATTGTCATATTTTTTTATCGCATGCGATATTTTCAATTTGACTTACAATTTTGAATTGTACGTTTTCAAAATTTTTTTCTACACCCTGCAACACTATGTTTTGAGGGCATTATACACAGGTCACAATTATCGTCTGATCCTAACAAAATTTGGCATAGGGGTAGGGTTAGGTTCAGAATTAAATCCTATTGTTTTTGAAGATGTAAATTTGGACAAAAAATGAAAATTTTCCTGATTTTGCAAACGCTATACGGGTCACAATTTAAAACCAATCGACACGGAATTTTGCATGAGGAGAGGCTAAGGACAGGGAACATGTTGAGCATTTTGGATGATCATTGGATTATATTTAATTGTAAAATGGACCACAATTTTGGTGTGAAATTGTTTTGAATACCTAACAACACGACGTCGTGCTAAATATTGGGTAGGGCTCTATGAGATTATTTCAAAAACGAAATCTTTCAAAATGGATTTGAACATAAGGGGCTTCTAACTTATTGTAGTGTTGTAGGGTATTACATGGTCGGCCCCGCACGACTATAGCCTTTGTTTACTTGTTGATACTACATTGAAAGTTTGAAAGTTTTTAAAAACACATTCTTCACGAAAGCTACGTTTGTTATTCCAATAGAGCTCAACTGGATGTGGCGCCCAACGGATATTGTGCATAAAATTTTTAACATTACATCGCCCTTTTTGTGGTCATAACTGAAAAGGGTGATCAAAGCTCTTTGAAACAAGATACGTTTTTTTAATCTAATAAATCTCAAATGAAAAATTGTGTAAAGGAAATATTTTCAATTTTAATTTTTCGCAATAGGAGCATCCAGACCCAAAGGTAAACATTTTTACCAAACAGTATCAGTTTCGGAAAAAAGGCTCTGCTCTATTCTTCCATTAGAATATTTATAAATTTTCATTGATTTGTTGCATGATTTTGAATGATTTTTAATTTTGTGGAATTGGAAGCCTTTAAATTCATATTCAATTAGATTTATATGCTAATGAAAGGAGATTAGAAGAATTTTTTAATTTTCAAAGCCGAAAATTATTCAATGTAGATTCTACTGCAGGAATATGTAACAAAATCCCCCAGTAGGTGAAATTTTTACCGTTCTTCGAGAATTGATCAGCAATAATGCAATATACAATTCATGATTTTCGGGATGGATCATAAAAATGAATTTAAGAGCTGTATATATAAAAAATAGGCCTTAAATATCAATGTTACTCCTGTGCTTATCCAAACTTTGAATTGTAGCCTTTTTAATATGTTTTCCTGAAAACTTCTAGTCAGAGCCTTTATATTTTAATATATAAATAATTTTATAAAAATCCGTATTATTATAAACAAACCCTTTAAACCCTCCGACATTTGGAACGAATTTGGAAATTTTCAAAAAATTAAAATAAGTTAAAAATTTTGTTAAAATCTTAGAAATACCGAATATAGCCGTTATATTGGGGTCGATACAAAGACGTGGACATGCATAGGCAATTTTCTCTCACAGACTTTAGTGTTCGTTACGAACTGCAAATACGAAATTTGAAACAATTCCGTTGAATAATGTCACCAAAATTATCAAAATACCGAATATAGGGAGGTAACGTTATATTGGAGCTATGCGAAGACCTGGCCCAGCATAGTCAATTTTCTGTCACAGGCTGTAGTACCAATTAGGAACTTCAAATACGAAATTTCAAACAATTGAATGAATGAAAAAAGTGAATAAAAATACCGAATAGTGGAAGCTACCTTCATATGGAGGCAATACGAAGACATGGGCCTGCAAACGCAAATTTTTGGCATAGGCTGTACGATACATTATGAATTCTAAATACGAGATTGGTAGGGAGGTACCGTTGTATGTAGGCTGTTCCATATCGTGGACCTATATGGACAATACTCTTCCAGGGGGTAAAGTACTCAGAAGGAACTCCTTTTGTGGATTTTCAGACAATTTCATTGAATAATTTGGCTATAGTCATCAAAATATCGAATATCGGGTTGTACCATTATATAGGGGCTATATATACCCTCCATACTATGTATTATGGAGGGTATAAAAACATTATTTAAAAAATCCATAATTGGATAATAATTGGAAATAAAAAATCCACAATTAAATTTTTGGAAATATTCTTCCTAATATTCATGCACGATCAGAGCCATGAGATTCCTAAAAATTTATTCTCAAATCATAGCCTCTATAGTTCCTCAAAAATTTAATTTAAACCGGTAAAGAACGATCAAAAGTCCAGCGGGTCCGACTGTATGATACCCTGATATCAACCCTGAATTGATTTCCACTAAATTTGACGTAGGCATTTGCACCTCTCGTATTAAATAACATGGTTATTATAAGACTTCGAGAAGGATTCGGGATCAATGTTTCACCAAATTGAAAAATTCGATGGAATTTACAAAAATCCATCCAATTTGGGCTGATGTTATGTATTTGGTGTACAATTACCGAAAAATCGGAGGAAGATACATATATGGTAGTTAAATCTGAACCGAACTTGATAAATTTCTGAGCTGTATGAGATATCTGGTACTAAATATAATTTTTTTGTGAATGTGAGGAAATTAAACACCAAATCGGATGAAAGATCTGTATGGGAACTATACCTATATTTGAACAGATTTTCAAAGAATTTGAAGAACTTGCTTCCAGACATCCGAAATATATCCTATTCGAACGAATATTACTCATATGGCTCAGAGTAAATTAAAATCGGAGCAAGATGTATAGCTCCCATATATCTAAATTTGAACCGATTATCACCAGATCCTATAGGGCTCGTCCTTGAGCCATAAAAAAAATACGTTGTGGGAATTCCATCTCAATCGGACAAAAATGCGATACAAAAATCCATGGACAGGCGACTCAGAATGTGATTCTATGCAGATCATCAAAAGGATGTGTGGGACCATCTCGCTTCTTTTTGCTTGACAAAGACATAATACCCTGAACCTCAGCGTGGCGTAAGGTATAACCTCCCAGTGCCTTGAATGTTCTTAAGAAATTATCTTTATAAAATCCATTAGTATAGCCTTGGTAGTCCTTCAGATTTGTCCTTCAAAAAAAAAAAAAAAAATCGATTACTTTTCAGAAAGCCTTGAAAGTCCTTTAGAAGCTTTCATTAGAAATATCATAATTGTGGCATCCACGGTCCTTCCGAAATATTCTTTAAAAATCTACGATTATAGCATTAAAAGTTATTATGATTACAGCTCTGGCAGGATTTAAAAAGCCAAGATTTTAGCTCAAATGGACCTTGAAAAATATTCTCTGAAATTCACGATAATTCCTGTAAAAGTCCTTGAAAATGTTTCTTTAAAAAATCACGAGCATTGCTATTAAGGGCCATGAAAATTTTTCTTCAACAATCCTTATTTTTCACAAGGTCCTTGAAAGCATTTTTTTTCGAAAAAAAAAACAATAAGAGTCGTGGAAAAAGTATTATTTTAAAAGTCACGATTGAAGGTCACTATGGAGATTTTGACAATATATTCTTCAAAATCCACTGTTATTTCTCCAAAGATCCTTGAGAATGGCTATGAAGGTCTTTGAAAAGATTTCTTTAAAAATCCACGATTATTCAATGTCCTTGAAAACAAGTTTTTTTTAGAAATTTACTATTATTTCTCTAAAGGTCCTTGAAAAAAATACTCTTCATAAACGTACGGTTATTTCTGTAAATGTCCGAAAAAACATTGTTTCGCTGAAGGTCTTCAAAATTTAGAAATTTTACAAATTTTTTAGAAATCCTGAAAATATCATTAAATAAAATATTACAAACGTTTTTAAAAATCCACGATTAAATTTCTGAAGGTCCTTCATCAAATATTCATAAAAAAAATCGGTTATTTTCTGAATTCTTAAAAACATTCTCGAATTCATATATTTTAAATAATCCACGAGACCTTGAAATCCCTCTCTTCAAAAAATTATCATTACATCTTTGAAAACGTTCCAAGGTAAGAGGTTAGGTTTAAGTCCTTGAAAGGCCAAGATTATAGACTTAAAATATATTCGTAAAAAAATTTAAAATGCATTCTTAATAAATCCACGATTAAAACCTTGACGGTTCTTAAAAAAATGTATAAATATATTATTGAAATCACTTCCTTCCAAAAATTTGAATATAGCCTTGAAAACTATTCTGTAAAAAAAAAAATATATATATATATATATATATATATATATATATATATATATATATATATATATATTTTTTTTTTTTTTTTTTTGTTTTAAAATTCGAGTGTAGATTCGGCTATTTGGCACCATATGTTTAACATGGCATGGACCACTCTTTCCTTTTTTCCGAAGAAAAATGGCCCAATTATGCTTTTGGACGAAAATCCGCTGTTCCATACTTGATAGTTCTGAAATATCCTGAATAATATTCTTAGAAAAATTCGAAGTTAAAGCCGTGATAGTCGTTGAAACTCATACTTTCAAAAAATCCCTTTAATTCCACGAATATCGTCTTAAAAGTTCTTTCAAAATATCGTTATAAATCCAGTACTTTATCCGTAATTAACCTTGGAAAATATTTATTTTAAAAATCTTTATTTTAAAAATATTTATTTTAAATAAAGCTCTGGTAAAGAATATACTCCTAAAAAACGGGATAATATTCTTTCCATATTAAAAAGCAAATAAAAAAACAGTAAGTTCTGCCGGGCCGAACTTTGAAAACACTCCACCAAATGGAACGAATTTGGAAAATTTAAAAAAAAAATATTTTAATATTTTTTTTTTTAATTTAAGAATACAGAATTTAGAGTATTTCCGTTATACTGGGGTCCATACGAAAACGTGGCTGTGCAAAGGCAATTTTTGTCATGGTATTCAACTACGAAACTTGAAACAATTCAGGCGTAGCCAAAGTCATCAAAATACCGAATATAGGGAGGTATATATATATTCAGGCTATTCGAAGACCTGGACCTGCAAAGACAATCTGTCGTAGAATGCAGTACCCATAAGGAACTTCAAATTTAATTCCGATGAATAATGTCGCAAAAATCATCAAAATACCGAATATAGGGAGGGGGCTATACCTAAACGTGGACCTATATAACCCATTTATATTAGTTGTTAGTACATTTGAGTTATAGTATTATTTTTTATGGCAACATATAATATAGAGTTTATTTCTATTTCCAATTTCAGGCGATGGTGTTTGTACATGTCAAAATTGGACATTGGATAATTTGAAACCAATGAAAAATGTAGCAGATTCAAATGTCTGTTCCTTATTCTGTGATGTCCATAATGTCACACTGGCCGGCTGTAGTCCCTGCAACGCTTCAAACCAAATGAGTGTTGACACCACCAATGCTGTTCCAATGTCGAAAGGAGAACAATTGGCAAATAAAATTGCTGTCCTGTCAGATGTGCGTGATGTGATCACCACTACAACGACCACAACACCAAATTGGAATGAGCTGTGCGCTTCTTTGTGTAAAACTGGTGATGGCGGGTCATTGTGCAATTGCGATTTGTCGCCATTTTTTGCCTAGAAAAAAAAAAAAACGAAGGGCAAGGATATTGGGTGATGAATAAAAAATTATTATTTTGGATTTTTTCTTAATTTTTATGAATTTAGATTTTTTTTTTAATATTTTGATAGTCTTAACTTTTGAAAAAAGTGGACTTTAAACTTTGTTTTTAAATTTGTAAAAATTTTTTGTTATATAATTTTGAATTTTTTTCTTATGTAAATTTCAATTATTAACATGAAAACTTGTTCAATTATTTTTGTCTACAAAAAATATTAATTTTTAACTTTAAAAGTATATACTGCTATATAACAAAAAAAAAAACACAATAAGATTTAACAAAAAAAGTGAACGTAATAAACTAATCCCTATGCGCATCAATTAATTTGTAATTAATTTCAATTATAACTAACAAAACAACAACAACAAGAAAAAAATAATCATACATACAAAAAAAAATACTATATACATAAAAAACATTATATATACATATATTGTTAAACGATAGTGTTTACATATCCTTTTTTTGGGATTGTTAATAGAAAAAGGATTTGAGGATTTGGAAAAATTTTGATTTTTAAATTTTTATTTTTAAAAGAGTAAAGCTTTTCAAATCCTTTTTTTAACTTAACACTAAAGAAATTGAAAAAAAAATTAACAACAAAATCACTAAAGGGCTTCCAGGTGAAATAGTTTGTAAATGTCATCAACCTCCATTTGAGGCATTGAGTGCACATCGACAGCTAGGCCACTATTTCTTTTAGTAGTTATGGGAAATCAGTTATCCTCTTTTGCAGGACATGCTGATCTTCTCACATAAAATAATAATTTATAAAAAAAAACCAACCAACAATTATCATATATACAACATATCGTCGTCACACTGTTGATAAATGCAAAAAAATATTTAAAAATTAAAAAAAAAAAATAAAAAAAATGTTTTTGTTTCCATTTTAGTTTGTTAATGGAATCAGCATATCAATTAACAAAAAAATACATTTTGTTTTTAATTTCTATCTAAAATATATAATACATATATATGTATGCCAAAAAAAAAAAATTAAATCTATACATAATCTCTTTATATATAAAAATATACACAACATTCATTACTTAACATGTCACGAGAAAGCATATTATGTCATGACATAACATGGCATGCTATAAAATGACGTGTTATATATATAAAATGAGGTGTTATAATATGGCATATTATAACATTACATGGTGTAACATTACATGGTATAACATGACATGGTATACCGTAACATAGCACAACATGGCATCATATAAGATGGCATGGTATAACATGACATTGTATAACATTCCATGACATGTCATAACAATTTATCGCCAAATGTTAGCCAAGAGTTCAGCGTTTTTCCAAAAATTACATTTATCCATTGACCCATGATCTTGGTATTCAGCTGTTTTCTTTAAATTATTGATGTTGTGTTTTGTAAAATTAGAAAAAAAGAGAAAATATAAAATTTTCCAAATTTACACCATGTTTTCTTCAAGTGTATTGTCAAAAATCGAACATATAATACATACTATATTAAAATTTCATATAAATACAAAAAGCTCATAATCTAGCATACATATATGTCATATATGTACATAAGTATGTCAAACAATAACCTCTTAAAAAACAAAACTTAAAATAAAAACAGAATTGTCAACTGGAATTAAATAAAAAAAAAAATTGTTATAAAAAAAGAGAGATTAATTTTGAAAAAAAAAAAGAAAATTAAAAATTAGCTAAATTTTATTATCATATTTTTATGTTGGAAAAGAACGGACCCTAAAGGCCAGTTTCCACGGCATGTCAGAAGCATGTGTAAAGTAATTTTTAAACATTTTATGAATAACTTTTTTGAGGCAGACTTTAAAGGTTAAGCTTCTTAAAGCAGTTATAAAAAATAAATGTAGAAAAAGTAGCTTTACATATGACTCTAAAATTATGTGTATATTAGCCTTAAGTTTGGTTTGTGGGAGGCAACTTTTGTTTATTTTTTATGTTGACACACTTGCCTTCTCCAAAATATATTCCCTTGAATATTCTTATTAGGTATGCAAATGATTCAAATTGAAAGACAACTGTTGCTGTTGAGTGCTTTATTACGAGTGAAACTTATTCTACTTACACAATACATATGGAAAACTTAAAGCAAAGAACCAATCTATGTACAAAGCTATAGGTGTCGCACATTGCGAACTCATTGCAATTCCTCTTTCGATCGACATTGCAAGATATTCCTATTTTCTGTTAAAAGTACTGGGGCTTTTGCCATCATTCTTCGGATATCTCACCAATTTTTTGGGCTTCTGAATATAAATAGTTTCCTATAGGACATCTGAAAAGACAATATCATTTTTAATTACCAAAGATGGTAAGATCCTCTATGTAGAAGATATTGAAATAAGGACTTCTGGCGATAGGAAAATCTACTTAGTTGGGCTTTTAAAGAAAGAAAATCTTCTTCTTTCCAATGTAGAAACTTCCCATAAGTATTTCAATTAAGGAAATATCCTTTAAAATTTTTCATTGGAAGAAATTTTTCTTACTCAGGTCTTTTATGGCAAGATATAAATATAAATCCCCATTCAGATCACCATGTAAATATTTCGTTCTCATGTTTTCTAGAACCATATTTAAGTATGGTATTCCAGAATCAATACATAATATTGAATTGACCCAAAGTTCTTAAGATCTGGTATAGTATCATTTGCCAAATATGGGGATCTTAGTATAGCAAAAGCTGGGCTATGACAGAGAAAATGCTTCATCGTTGCACATCCTTTTTAAAAAATATGCTTATAGACTAAGATGACGTGACAAAAAGCCTGTCAATCTATTTTTTCTCTGATTTATTTGATAGTATTCAGCTTGATGGGGCCATTTCCCAACTTTACTAAGGTTGACCACCACGGATGCACAATCCCTGGTCAACCCTTCTGCCAGCAACGAATTCCCGCTGCAACGATTTCCACTTGCATCTATGGCTATAGCAGACTTCTTTCTCTGTTGGTTATAAACAACTACTACAACACTGCATTTCTCTAATTTAGGGTAATTGGTATTTCTCCACGAGCAATATTCTCCAACATATAAATGACACGGGCAATATTTTACATCAACAGCATAATCTAGCTCCAATAATTATTCGCACCATTTCCACGGGTAATAATCCAATTACCTCCATTTTACTCTGGCTCCACAAATATGTTATTCGAAATGAAAGACCTTTTCATTCGCATGTCTGAGAATTAGTATTTCGTATTTTCGTTATGGCTATCCAGAATCAATACATAATGTTAAATTATCATAAGGTCCTTTAACTTATAAATGTCGTCTTCCATTGTGTAATTAAGATCTCATAATGTTCCAATGAATATTTCTCCTTGGTTGCGAAAGTGGACAGTACCTTTTCTCTTGCACTGATGTGTCTCTTGTAGCTCTGGGCGCAACCCGGTTAGGGTCTTTGCGTTTTCCGTTTTGTAAAGAGCCGAATCTTATTCTCGCCCCTAGTTCCATGCCATCCGTTTAGCAACATATTTCCAAAAGTATTTATGTTCGAGTTCTATTAATTCACGAGTATCTGTCTGTCCAAAAAAATTCTTGATTTTGGACGCTATAGCTCTAATAGCAACTTTATTATCCGTAACAATGTTCACAATAGCTGATGTCGAGTTGGCACGAGCCAGTTTAGAGACTCGGTAATTGCTTGGATATCAGTCTGAAAGACGGTATTATGATCCGGTCGGTAAAGGGATTTTCAACGATATAACTTCCGTAAGGATGTTTCAGTAGCTAATCTTGTGTGGGTACTAAGTCACTTTTGAGACACTGTAATTTGAATTTGAAGCCTCTGCAGTTGATTGACAAAAAGAACCAGTCCCGTTCTCGTCACTTGCTTCGATTTCAGAACTCATTTCTGCTAGAGTTCCATTAATCCACGAGTCTCTGTTTGGTAAAAATGTTTCACACAAGACAGCTATATATCAATCGGGAAACCATCGGTACACCGGGTATGTTTATTGTAACTGGCGTTGACTTTTTTGTGCCCGTCACCTTCTCAGAGCATAATTTCAAGTCTTTCTGACTTGGTGGACAAATGTTGAGAAAACAAACCAACTGCTCTATTCGGGTGTAGTTTCAAATCTGATATTGAATGAACCAATCGATATCTGTGTTGGAGGGTCATAACCTTTATTATCTTACACATTATCGTATGCAACAGCTCACAAGATCGCACATATGGTATTTTATGCGGCCAATAAACAGATAATTATAGAATATTTATTTTGGATTGTTAGATTTTCCCAGCGCCTCAACAGTACTCAAACACAAAATCCAAAAATTGTTTATTACAACTTAAGATACTTCACAAATTGTTGCAACTGAAATTTCTTAGGTACGCTTATTGATTGCATTTCAACATCCTTTCTCTTCAACTTCTGTGTGGCAACTGTTTATGATCGCCAAGTTCTTGGCGTCACCTTACTCAGAGTTTAGCAAGTCGTCACTTTGAGTCGTGCTTCCTCGGCTGTGTTGCTAATATTTCTAAGGCAAATTAGAGAGTAGCAAATGTGGTTGAGCAGAGAGGCGAACATTTTTGGTCTCCCAACTTTTTTTTTGCTCTCTGATTGTGTACGTTGAGAATTTCGTTTGTTAATCTCTTAAAATTTATGGTATTGAGAATATCGTTGGCTTTTTATTTGTTGTAATATTGAAATTTGAGCAGCATAAATTTCAAAAATTACAATTTTAAAATATAATAATTATTTTTTATATATTTATTTTAAAATATTTTAAATTTGTTATACTTTTTTAAATAAAAATTTCGTTTGATTCCATTTGACCTCTCTGTTTTTAATTTAAAATTTTGAAAAAAAAAATCATTAAAAATTTGTTTTTAATCTATAATAAAAAATATATACAAAAAAATGTTTTGGAAGACATTAAAAAATAATAACAATTATAAAAATTTATTAACAAAAAATAAATAAAAGTGAAGACAATTTTCGATTTGCTCAAAAAAATAACAACAACCAGCAACAAAGTCAATAAAAAATATGTGTATTATATAAAAAAGAAATATTTAAAAAATAAATATTGCAATTATTAACTTGTGGAAGACATTTTAGTAATAAATTTAAAAATAAAGAAAAATTAGGAATTAAGTAAAAATTAAAAAAATCAACATTTTGATTAGACTTGCCATTAAATAATGAGGTCTGCAGACAGAAATGTTCTAAGCTGTGACTGACAATAATTAATATTTAAGGCGAGCGAGGTTAAAAAAATACCAACAATAAATAAATGCAAATGCCACGCAAAAAAAAAAAATAAAACCAAAAAAAATTAATATATAATTTTTTTTTAAATTTATTCCAAAAAAAAAAATTTTTTTTTTTTTGAAAATTGCACGCATATTTAGCAACAAAACAAAATAAGGCACTTTAAAATTTTTGAGTTATGAAAAAATATTTAAAAAAAAAAATAAATAAATAAAATAATAAAAAAAAAAAAAAATCAAAATTAAAAAAATAAAATAAAAACCAAACAAGCAAACATTTTCTCATCACATTTAACCAAAACACACACACAATAAGCACGAAAGAATAACGGGAATGCACGTCTTGCGTAGTTCAAACTCTATATGGAATATAAAAAAAAATACAAACTAAATATATACAGAATATAATTTAAATAATTTCCCCCCAAAAATTAAAAAAAGAAACATTACAAACAAAAACAAATTGCCAAACAATGTTATGCCACCAACAAAAAAAAAAAAAAATTAATATCAAAAATTAAACAACAAAAAATATGGAAAACAAAAAAAAATTTGTTGTAGTTTGTTAAATGTTTAAATTTTTATTATTATCGAAGACAAAATTATTAAAGCTATTTCTTTCTATAGATGTATATGTATTTAAAATAATATTAAAAATCTATAATGTATTCATATAGATCACAATTACAACAACAACAAGAAAATTACATACTAAAAGATGAAAAACTCTACATTCCTCCACCCCCCATTAAGGCATATGTACTTATATACAATTTATATATATATATATATACATTATTATTATTATTATATACTGTTTAAATAGCCAAAAAGCAACAATTAATTCATTAATTAACTGCAAAATGAGAAAAACTTAAAAAAATTGAAATGGAATGAATAAATAAATTATATATGTATATTTCAATGTGTTAAATGTTGTACAATAAACTAATAAAAATAAATAAAAAAACCTTAAAATATTTAACGATTATTTTTTGAGGGGTCTCAAGGAGGGCCTATCGACAAAAAATTTTCAAAATCGAGTTACAGAGACTATGTTCGAAATTTTTTAATTTATTTATTTATTTATTTTTTATTTTATTTATTTATTTATTTATTTTTTTTTTTGAGGATATAACGAGGATTGGGAGGTTTCTGATGCTATAACCATGAAATTTGAGGGTTATTTTTGAGGCTATGCTTATAAATGTTTTTAAAAATAATTTTGAGCTGCAATCTAGAATTTTGAAGGAATATTTTTGATGAACAATTGAGGCTGTAATCGTAGATTTGAAAAAAAATATATATTTGAGCCGTAGAATTTTATATTCTATTTTTTTTATAATTTTAATGAATATCTCGAAGGCTTTAGCCATAAATTTTTAAGAATATTTTTGAGGCTACCATCACGTATTTTTAGGAAGTATCATGGATTATTAGAGAGTTTTTTGAAAAAAAATCTTCAATATTTTTAAGAAACATTTTTTTTTTTTGAGTGGTTTGGAATTTTTAAGAATTTTTTAAGTCTATAGTCGTGAAATTTTAAAGAATATTTTTAGGCCTTAATCTTATTTTTTAAAAGACTATACCCTACACCACATAGTGGTAAGGGTATTACGTCTTTGGGCATTTGTTTGTAACATGGAGAAGAAAGTGAGATAGACTTTACTTTTGAGAATCTTCATAGAATCCATTTCTGAGTCGACTTATGCATGCCAGTCCGTACGTCCATGTATTGTTGTGAACAAAATGCAGGTCGCATTTATTATTGAGAAGAAATTTTCCAAACAATATATGTTTGGCCCAAGGACGAACCCTATTGAAATTGATGATAATCGGATCAGTTTTAGATGAAGCTCCTATATGTCCTCAACGGGTTTCGGTATAATTGTGCACTAAATGGCTAATATCCGTCCAAATGAGCTGAATTTTGGCACATCCGGCTGAATTCAGTTTAGAAGCAAGTAAATCAAATTTGGAGAAAATCGGTTGGGATATAGCTCACATAAATATGTTTTATCCGATTTTGGGTTTAAAGTTTACACGCGTAATATGTATTCCACAACAATACTATTTGGTACGAGATATCAAATACAGCCCAGAAATATCTCGGCCAAATTTTACCAAGATCGGCTCTGATTTGGATATAGCTCTCCCATATATACCTTCAACCGATTTCAACCAAATGACCAATATTAGTCTAAAAGTCCTGAATTTTGGCATTTGGTTATGGCCGCCCACAACATCACCATGGCCAGCGCTTGAGTGGTGGTGGCTGGTGTCCAACCGAAGGTGCACATTTTCAGCTGTCCTCTTTGGCAAGTAAACACGATCATTTTGTTTGTTTACAAACTGCTGGACAACGAATGTTTTCTCATCGGAGACGAAGAAAACCAAATTCGGCAGTTCACCACTTTCGGCCAAGCGAAGCAGCTCCTTAGCTCTATTGGGTCTATTATCTTTCTGTTGCGGTGTAAGTTCTTGCACTTTTTGGAATTTCAATGGCTTTACCCCGAGCTCACTTTTTAAACATTTGCCGAATTGAATATTGCGTTATGTTCAGCTCAAGAGCCATTTTTCGGCCACTGCGACGCGGGTTTCGATCAAGTCGCTACAAGCTACAATAGTGGACTTTTTCAAGAATAACTTATTTAGGAGATTTCTAAAAGATTTGTTTTACTAAGGGACTATCGAGGCCATAAAAGTTTTCGTTTTAATTAAAAATTGTTGGCCTTTAATCGTGGATTTTCTCTTCTTCGGGATTAAATCTGTAAATAATCCTCAATGTTCTATGAGTATCATTGAGACCAGAATTTTTTAAGAATTTTGTGGCGAACTATCCGGCTACAATGGTGGAATTTTATAAACAAATTTTTGAAACTATTGGGAATTTTAAAAATATGTATTTTTTAGTTACTATCGAGGCTGTTACGGAGTAAAATGGTGGATTTATGCAAAGAATAATTTCTGAGAGATTATCGATACGATAATTTAAGATTTTTTAGGAATATTTTTGGGGTGCCATAATTATGGAATTTTTTAGACAATATCGTTGAGGAAATATCTATGAAAGCGGATTTCCCTAAAGATAATATTTGAGAAACCATTTTTAATTGCTGTTTTTCAAACCATGTGGCAACATTTTGTCACCACAATTTTCTCAATTATTATAATTCCGATCGTAGACAGAGATGGCATACTTTGGTTTGAATTAAAAACTGGTACACTTTGCACTTTATTTTGTACCAAAATTGGTTTTTTCCTAAAATAATTACCGTTTTATATTGTCTTTCGCCTTTCCAACACGTAGCCTTATCTGATTTCAGTCTTATTTTATTATACCCTCCATCATAGTATGGAGGGTATATTAAGATTGTCATTCGGTTTGTAACACCTCGAAATATACATTTTAGACCCCTCGAAGTATATATATTCTTGATCAGCATAAAATTCAATGTCGATTTAACGATCTCCGTCCGTCCGTCTGTGGAAATCACTCTTGCTTCCGAACGAAATGAAGTAGGTTGATAAAATTTTACTCAAATGTATATTATGTCTGCAGGACTTTTGGTATTGAAAATGGGCCATGTAGGTCCACATCTTCGTATAGCCCCCATATAACGGTACCTCCCGATATGCGGTATTTTGATGATTTTAGCGACATTATTTACTGGAATTGTTTTAAAATTGGTATTTGAAGTTCGTAATAGATACTAAGGCTTCAGACAGAAAATGGACCATGTAGGGTCACGTCTTCGTATAGCCCCCATATAACGGTACCTCCCGATATTCGGTATTTTGATGATTTTAGCGGCATTATTCACCGGAACTGTTTCAAATTTTGTATTTGAAGTTCGTAACGGATACTACAGCCTATGACAAAAAATTGTATGTGCAAGTTCACGTCTTCATATAGTCCCCATGTAACGGTACCTCCCGATATTCGGTATTTTGATGATTTTAGCTCCAGAATTCACAGGAATTGTTTCAAATTTCGTATTAGCACTTCCCTAATGGGTACAATAGCCTGTGATGGAAAATTGTCTATGCAGTTCCAGGTCTTCATATACCTCACATGTAACCGTACCGCCCGAAATTCAGTATTTTGCTGATTTCAGCGACATTATTCACCCGAAATGTTTCAAATTTCGTATTTGAAGTTCCTAGTGGCTACTACAGCCTGTGACAGAAAATTGTCTATACAGGTCCAGGTCTTCGTATAGCTCCCATATAACGGTATCTCCTTATATTCTCTATTTTTATGATTTTAGCGGCATTAATCACCCGAAATGTTTCAATTTTCGTATTTGAAGCTCCTAGTGGCTACTGCAGCCTGTGACAAAAAGTCGTCTATGCCGGTCCAGGTCTTCGTATAGCCCCCATATAACGGTACCTCCCTAAATTCGGTATTCTCTTGATTTAAGCGGTATTTTTCACCGGAATCGTTTTAAGTTTCGTGTTAGACTATTGTAGTGGCCTATGACAAAAATTGCCTATGCGGGTCTACGTCTTCATAGAGACTCCAATACCAAGATAAGTCCCCATATTCCGTATTTTCACGATTTTAACAGAATTTTTGACGGTTTATTTTTTTTTTTTTTTTTGGAAAATTTCCAAATTATTTCCAAATGATGGAGGGTATTCAAAGTACAGCCCGGCCGAACTTACTGCTTTTTAACTTGTTTACACGTAAATTCCAGCTGCGGTACTAAATTCCGTATCCCGAAGCATGTTTTTCCCAACACTGACCATATCTCTTCTGTTTGGCTTTTGAAGTCAACAGTGTCATATCGCAGCGTTCGTCGACTTAACTTCAGTTGTTCTCCAACTGGCGATCGAGCAGGTAGTCTTTGCCGCATTCCTACTGGCGGTAGCTGTGTTAATCTCAACGAAAGATTTGAAAATAAATTTCGATTTCAACGCTACAACAACAAAAATGGCTGTTAGTTTTGTACATGTCCCAGCTGGAAGTGATTTTCCCTTGGAAAATTTACCCTACGGTGTGTTCTCTACAAAGGCAAATGTAAGTACACATTCAAAACTAAAAAATAAAGCACCTGTTCTATGGGAAAAATTTTTATGGTGGAATGTGCCACACATGTGGCCCAGTTAAATTGAAAAAAAAACTAAGAATAAAGCGGCTACCTGAAAAAAAATCCTGTTCGACTTGTTGACCACATTTGAAAATAAAAATATTCAAATAGATATTTAAAACAGGGCTCCGGACTAGAATGCTCTGCATATTCTACTGGACATTTACATAAATTAGACTAGTTTTCTTCCAAACCACTAACAACTGCCATCAAATAACCAGAACAACAAAGTATCCAGTTTAATGCCGCCAACTAAAAATAACAGCCGGTGCTGCCTGGTGCTGCTGAGTGATGATAACAAGTCATCAGCTATAATTTTCTTCTTGTTTTTATTTTTCGAATCCAAATGCAATAAAAATCCAAAATCTGAATAAATGAGGCTGTGATAAAACTAGTTGCTTGTTTACCTTTTATGTTAATTTCTCTTTTCTTCGCTCTCTTTCTTTCGCTTTGATAATAGCCCCGCAAACGTTTGGGTGTTGCCATTGGTGACAGCGTTTTGGATTTGAGTGGTGTTGCCTCATTTTATCCACCCGAAGTACAGGTAAGAGGATTGTGTATAACAGTTAGCAGTGCGTCCTTTATTGAAAATATTTTATCCACAGGATGCCTTGAATGCCGAATCATTGAATAAACTGATGAGCCTTGGCTACACTGCCTGGAATGTAGTTCGGACCAAAACCCGTGAATTGTTGCTGAAAAACTCGGTTTTGGAACAGAATGCTGCCTTGGTGCAGAGGTAAGGACAGTTAAGCATATAACACTTTAATGTTATAAAAGGGCTGTAGATAAAGTTTCAATACTGGGGTATTTGAAAAATTTTCTATAAAAAACCATTTCCAATACTGGGGTATTTGAAATATTTTCTATAGAAAATATTTTCAATACTGGGTTATTTCAGTAATTTTCTCTAGAAAACCATTTCAATACTGGGGTATTTCGAAAAATTTTCTATAGAAAAAATTTCCAATGCTGGGGTATTTGAAGAATTTTATATAGAAAACCATTTCAATACTGGGGTATTTCGAAAAATTTTCTATAAAAAAGTTTCAATACCGGGGTATTTCGAAAAATTTTCTATAGAAAAAATGTCCAATACTGGGGTATTTCGAAAAAAAAAATTCTAAAGAAAACCATTTCAATACTGGGGTATTTCGAAAAAAAATTTCTAAAGAAAACCATTTCAATACTGGGGTATTTCGAAAAATTTTCTATAGAAAAACATTCTCAATACTGGGGTATTTCGAAAAATTTTCTATAGAAAACCATTCTCAATACTGGGGTATTTCGAAAAATTTTCTATAGAAAACCATTTCAATACTGGGGTATTTGAAATATTTTCTATAGAAAATATTTTCAGTACTGGGGTATTTGATATATTTTCTGTAGAAAATATTTTCAATACTGGGGTATTTCGAAAATTTTTCTATAGAAAACCATTTCAATACTGGGGTATTTGAAATATTTTCTATAGAAAATATTTTCAGTACTGGGGTATTTGATATATTTTCTGTAGAAAATATTTTCAATACTGGGGTATTTGAAAAATTTTCTATAGAAAAAATTCCAATACTGTGGTATTCGAAAAATTTTCTATAGAAAAAATTCCAATACTGTGGTATTCGAAAAAATTTCTATAGAAAAAATTCCAATACTGTGGTATTCGAAAAAATTTCTATAGAAAAAATTCCAATACTGTGGTATTCGAAAAAATTTCTATAGAAAAAATTCCAATACTGTGGTATTCGAAAAATTTTCTATAGAAAAAATTCCAATACTGTGGTATTCGAAAAATTTTCTATAGAAAAATTCCAATACTGTGGTATTCGAAAAATTGTCTATAGAAAAAATTCCAATACTGTGGTATTCGAAAAATTTTCTATAGAAAAAAATTCCAATACTGTGGTATTCGAAAAATTTTCTATAGAAAAAAATTCCAATACTGTGGTATTCGAAAAATTTTCTATAGAAAAAAATTCCAATACTGTGGTATTCGAAAAATTTTCTATAGAAAAAATTCCAATACTGTGGTATTCGAAAAATTTTCTATAGAAAAAATTCCAATACTGTGGTATTCGAAAAAATTTCTATAGAAAAAATTCCAATACTGTGGTATTCGAAAAAATTTCTATAGAAAAAATTCCAATACTGTGGTATTCGAAAAATTTTCTATAGAAAAAATTCCAATACTGTGGTATTCGAAAAATTTTCTATAGAAAAAATTCCAATACTGTGGTATTCGAAAAATTTTCTATAGAAAAAAATTCCAATACTGTGGTATTCGAAAAATTTTCTATAGAAAAAAATTCCAATACTGTGGTATTCGAAAAATTTTCTATAGAAAAAAATTCCAATACTGTGGTATTCGAAAAAATTTCTATAGAAAAAATTCCAATACTGTGGTATTCGAAAAATTTTCTATAGAAAAAATTCCAATACTGTGGTATTCGAAAAATTTTCTATAGAAAAAATTCCAATACTGTGGTATTCGAAAAATTTTCTATAGAAAAAATTCCAATACTGTGGTATTCGAAAAATTGTCTATAGAAAAAATTCCAATACTGTGGTATTCGAAAAATTGTCTATAGAAAAAATTCCAATACTGTGGTATTTGAAAAATTTTCTATAGAGAAAATTCCAATACTGTGGTATTTGAAAAATTTTCTATAGAGAAAATTCCAATACTGTGGTATTTGAAAAATTTTCTATAGAAAAAAATCCAATACTGTGGTATTTGAAAAATTTTCTATAGAGAAAATTCCAATACTGTGGTATTCGAAAAATTTTCTATAGAGAAAATTCCAATACTGTGGTATTTGAAAAATTTTCTATAGAAAAAATTCCAATACTGTGGTATTCGAAAATTTTCTATAGAGAAAATTCCAATACTGTGGTATTCGAAAAATTTTCTATAGAGAAAATTCCAATACTGTGGTATTCGAAAAATTTTCTATAGAGAAAATTCCAATACTGTGGTATTCGAAAAATTTTCTATAGAGAAAATTCCAATACTGTGGTATTCGAAAAATTTTCTATAGAGAAAATTCCAATACTGTGGTATTTGAAAAATTTTCTATAGAGAAAATTCCAATACTGTGGTATTTGAAAAATTTTCTATAGAGAAAATTCCAATACTGTGGTATTTGAAAAATTTTCTATAGAGAAAATTCCAATACTGTGGTATTTGAAAAATTTTCTATAGAGAAAATTCCAATACTGTGGTATTTGAAAAATTTTCTATAGAGAAAATTCCAATACTGTGGTATTCGAAAAATTTTCTATAGAAAAAATTCCAATACTGTGGTATTTGAAAAATTTTCTATAGAAAAAAATCCAATACTGTGGTATTTGAAAAATTTTCTATAGAAAAAATTCCAATACTGTGGTATTCGAAAAATTTTCTATAGAGAAAATTCCAATACTGTGGTATTTGAAAAATTTTCTATAGAAAAAATTCCAATACTGTGGTATTTGAAAAATTTTCTATAGAAAAAATTCCAATACAGTGGTATTTGAAAAATTTTCTATAAAAAAAATTCCAATACTGTGGTATTTGAAAAATTTTCTTTAGAAAAAATTCCAATACTGTGGTATTTGAAAATTTTTCTATAGAAAAAAATTCCAATACTGTGGTATTTGAAAATTTTTCTATAGAAAAAAATCCAATACTGTGGTATTTGAAAATTTTTCTATAGAAAAAAATTCCAATACTGTGGTATTTGAAAAATTTTCTATAGAAAAAAATTCCAATACTGTGGTATTTGAAAATTTTTCTATAGAAAAAAATTCCAATACTGTGGTATTTGACATTTTTTCTCACTTTTAAATTTTTCCTTTCCAGCGTCATTGTCCCCCAAAAGGAATGTGAAATGCATTTGCCAGCCGAAATCGGAGACTATACCGATTTCTATTCTTCAATCCATCATGCCACCAATGTTGGTATTATGTTCCGTGGCAAGGAGAATGCCTTGATGCCCAATTGGCGCCACATCCCTGTGGGCTATCATGGTCGTGCCAGTTCGGTGGTTGTCTCCGGAACTCCCATTCGTCGTCCTCTCGGCCAAACTTTACCCGTTGATGGTCAACCTCCCGTCTTCGGTCCCTGTAGATTATTGGACTTTGAATTGGAAATGGCTTTCTTCATTGGTGGTCCTGGCAATCAGCTGGGTGAACGCATACCCGTCGAAGAGGCATGGAAAAATGTTTTCGGTTTCACTTTGATGAACGATTGGAGTGCCCGCGATATTCAGAAGTGGGAATATGTGCCATTGGGACCATTTACCGCCAAGAATTTGGGTACCACCATTTCACCTTGGGTTATTCCGGTGGCAGCTTTGGAACCCTTCCTGGTCGACAACTATCCCCAGGAACCGGAAGTTTTTCCCTATTTGAAACATCAGAAACCTTTCAATTTCGATATTAACTTGGAGGTGTATCTGAAACGTAAGTATTGGACATTTGGGAAATTATGAAAATATTTTGAAAATTTTCATTATTTGAATTTTTTACAGCCGAAAACAGCTCGGAAACCAAAATTTGCAAATCGAACTACAAATATCTGTATTGGACTGCCATGCAACAAATTGCCCACCACACCGTGACTGGTTGCAATGTCCGCCCCGGTGACTTAATGGCCTCGGGTACCATCAGTGGTGAGACGGAAGATTCCTTTGGCTCCATGTTGGAGTTGAGCTGGCGCGGTGCCAAGACCATCAACTTGAATGATGGTGCCACCCGTAAATTCTTGCAGGACGGTGATGAGGTCATCATTAGGGGTTATTGTGAGAGCAATGGTGTTCGCATTGGCTTCGGCGAATGTGCTGGCAAGGTCTTGCCAGCCACTCCATTCCAATAACTTCTTTTGTTTTGTAATTAGTAGAGTAGTAATGAACAAATGCATTTAATGTCGATCAATTTTTTGAAATAGAAATAAAATATACTTTTGAAAAATTTTGAATTGAAACAGGGAAAAAAGTTGAAGTTCGGCCGGGGCGATCTTTGAATACCCTCCACCATTGGGAACGAATTTGGCAATTTTCAAAAAAAAAAAAAAATTCAACACCACGGGTATTGAGATTTTTTTCCCCATTGAAAAAATTTCAACACCACAAAAAAATTTCAACACCATTGGTATTGAGATTTTTTCCGCATAGAAAAAATTTCAATACCCCGGGTATTGAGATTTTTTCCGCACAGAAAAAAATTTCAATACCCTCGGGTATTGAGATTTTTTCCGTATAGAAAGAAAATCAATACCCACCGGTAATGAGATTTTTTCCGCATAGAAAAAAATGTCAATACCCTCGGGTATTGAGATTTTTTCCGTATAGAAAGAAAATCAATACCCACCGGTAATGAGATTTTTTCCGCATAGAAAAAAATTTCAATACTCGCGGTATTGAGATTTTTCCGTATAGAAAAAATTTCGGTACCCGCGGTATTGAGATTTTTTCCGCATAGAAAAAATTTCGGAACCCGCGGTATTGAGATTTTTTCCGCATAGAAAAAATTTCGGAACCCGCGGTATTGAGATTTTTTCCGCATAGAAAAAATTTCGGAACCCGCGGTATTGAGATTTTTTCCGCATAGAAAAAATTTCGGTACTCGCGGTATTGAGATTTTTTCAGCATAGAAAAAATTTCGGTACCCCCGGGTATTAAAATTTTTTCCGCATAGAAAAAATTTCGGTACCCCCGGGTATTAAGATTTTTTTTCCGCATAGAAAAAATGTCACTACCCCGGTGGTATTGAGATTTTTTCCGCATAGAAAAAATGTCAAAACCCCGGCTATTGAGATATTTTCCGCATAGAAAAAATTTCAAAACCACAGCTATTGAGATTTTTTCCGCATAGAAAAAATTTCAAAACCCCCGCTATTGAGATCTTTTCCGCATAGAAAAAATGTCAATACCCCGGGTATTGATATTTTTTTCCGCTTAGAAAAAATGTCAATACCCCGGTGGTATTGAGAGATTTTCCCCATAGAAAAAATTTCAATACCCCGGGTATTGAGATTTTTTCCGTATAGAACAAATTTCAATACCCCGGGTATTGAGAGATTTTTTCCGTATAGAACAAATTTCAATACCCCGGTGGTATTGAGATTTTTTCCGTATAGAACAAATTTCAATACCCCGGTGGTATTGAGATTTTTTCCGTATAGAACAAATTTCAATACCCCGGTGGCATTGAGATTTTTTCCGTATAGAACAAATTTCAATACCCCGGTGGTTTTGAGATTTTTTCCGTATAGAAAAAATTTCAATACGGAAAAAATTTTCTATACGGAAAAAATCTCAATACCCCGGTGGTATTGAAATTTTTTTCAGTATAGGAAACAAAATTCAATACCCCGGGTATTGAGATTTTTTTCAGTATAGAAAAAATATTCAATACCCCGGGTATTGAGATTTTTTCCGCATAGAAAAAATTGTAATACCCCGGTATGGAGAGATTCTTCCGTATAGAAAAAATTTCAATACCCGCGGTATTGAGATTTTTTCCGTATAGAAATTTCGATTAAAGAAAATCAGTTTAGATTTTTACTTCCCATCCCTGTCTTAAAGAGTTATTTTCTACACTGATTTCAAAGAGAATTATTTCGTCTGGCTCTCTTTGTATCTGTGAGATACAAAACTTGGCCATACAAACAAACGAACAAGTGCATGCCTCTTTGCGTTGTTGAATTGTCGAATCGCTTGTCCGTCTGGCGGCGTTCAAGTTGCCTTGGCTTGTTTTTTGTGGACCTCCACTCTCTTCGCATTCGACCAGCTTTGCACAGAAACGATTCAGCTTTAAATGGAAACGCAACAACGTTACGCGAAAACGCCAAGTCCGCCACAACAAACAACAGAAATCGAAGCAGAGAAACTGGCGCCGGTCGGCTGGTTGCTACAGCAAAGCCAGCAAAAAACCAAACGATTTATACTTTTTATTTAAGAAGGCGAGCAAAAAAAAATCGGTGAAATAAAATTATATATTGTTGTTGCAAAATCGTCAGGCAAAATCCCATTATTGTTGTTTTTATAAAAACAACGTTTGTTTATGAGTGGAGAACGATGGTAATGTTTACCAGGGGGTAAGGCAGGGAATACCTAGGTTCTCCACTCATAAACAAACGTTGTTTTTATAAAAACAACAATAATGGGATTTTGCCTGACGATTTTGCAACAACAAAATACTATGGTATCCCAAACAAGCAAGCCAAACACTGTTCTATTAATAGACACAGGCACGGTCGACGAAGGGGTTTTTGTTGTAACAGACAAAACAAACTTACATGGTTATGTTACTTCGTTCAGGTTGAACGAAAGCATAACAAGTGGAGAAAGATGAAAATGTTTATAAGTGCGGTTGTAAGATTTAGAAGACTTTCCAAAAGAATTTTAGTTTTATATAATTCTTTGGTTCCTCTTCTATTGAGCTTACGATCTCGTCACTTGGGTAAAAAAATGTTTTTTGTCATAGAAGTTATTTTTAAAATAACTTCTGGGGAGAATATCCCAGACAAAAACAAGGGAACTGATGAGGATTGGTGGCTCTTTCCGAAACCTAGGTATTCCCTGCCTTACCCCCTGGTAAACATTACCATCGTTCTCCACTCATAAACAAACGTTGTTTTTATAAAAACAACAATAATGGGATTTTGCCTGACGATTTTGCAACAACAAAATACTATGGTATCCCAAACAAGCAAGCCAAACACTGTTCTATAAAATTATATATTTTTCGAAACGGGATAGTGATTATTAGAAAATTGAATTGAAAATATATTGAATTGAAAGTGAAGCTGGTGTTAAGTGAAAAAAATATTGAAATAACAATTGAGAAAGCTGTGAAAAATTGAAGTGAAATTTTTGATGTTAAGGTAATGGAAAATTGTTATCGAAAAAACCTGTGTAGATGTATTTGAAAAAAAAAAAGTTCGAAAATTGAAATTCAAATCACGGCAAAGTGTTTAGAAAATGAATTGAATAACAAAAGAATATTTAATTTTCATTAAAAAAAGTTGAGGAAATTGAAAATCCTTTTAAGGATAATGGAATTTTTCTTCCTGTTTGCCTGAAAAAATCAATGTCTTTCGTTGAACTTCACATCAAAGGGGGAACTTTTTGTTGTAGAAAAAATATCTGTCTAAGAGGTAGAGAGAGAAAGAGAACCAGAACAAAAGTTTTTTTTTCTAAAATGGCAAAGCAAAAGCAGGAAATCCACCACCAATGGAATAACCTCCATGTCCTCCCCATCTGAGGCAGGAGAAAAGGCAACATCGCCACCACCACCACCCACCAGGCATATAGAAGAACCTCTACTCGCTGCTGCTGTTGATGATGATGCGACGGGCCAAAAACACTTCAAGTCCTGGCCTGACGCACCGCACACTTGGTGTAAACACTCAGCCGTTTTTGACGGCCCAAGGCACTACTTGTCGTAACGGCAAAACAAAGGGAAGGCAAAAACATCCCTAAAAGCCTTTAAAGAGTCGTTAACACGCTAACATTTTTCTACTCCAAACACGGCGGCAGTTGATCGACTGTCGTCACACAGCGGAGCTAAAAAACGCGAAGAAAGGAGGGCAGATAAATAAACCAAAATGCGTTCGTTTGTTTGCCAATAGAGAAATGACGTTTTCTTCGAAAGAACAAAACCGAGGCAATATTTGTCAGAACGCAAAATACAATCGGCAACCGGGAATAATGGAAATTGCACTCCAAAACTAAATTTCACAAAAAAAAGAAAGATTGCTAAACTTGAAAAGAATAAAAGCAACAACAACAACAACGTTGAAGGTATCTGGTTTTGTATCTGTTTTGGTTTTTTCACATTCTACAGTGGCTCACAAAAAACCAAAATATGCAGAACAGTCCGAAAAATAGCTTAAGATTTCTTGGAATCCGTACATTTTAGGCACACAGTGTCTTTGGCAACATTACTGGAAAGAATTCGAGGAATATTTTTGTAGAACAAATTAACCCTCAGTCGGGTCATTGAAGGGGTCTTTTAGGACCTTTTCTTCAAAAATGTAGAAAAACTGCATTAAGATGAGGTTGTATCAGATCAAAATATTCTACAAAATTGTTCCTTATAAAATTTCACTATAGGTCTCAGAATACACCGAAACTTACCTACAAGCCGGAAATCGTTAAAAATAAAATAAAACAACACTTTTTGGGTTAAAATCGCAAGATTCCGTCAATTTTTGAAAATACTCAAATTAAGATTCCCTGGAATCCATGCATTTTAGGCACATAGTGTCTTTGGCAACATTACTGGAAAGAATTCGAGGAATATTTTTGTAAAACAAATTAACCCTCAGTCGACACATTAAAGGGGTCTTTTAGGACCTTTTCTTGAAAAAAAATGTAGAAAAACTGCATTAAGATGTTGTCGTATTACATCAAAATATTCTACAAAATTGTTTCTCATAAAATTTCCTTAAGGGTTTCAGAACACAACGAAACTCCAAAATTTACCTAAAAGTCATAAATCGTTAAAAAAAAATTTTTAAGGTTAAAGTTTTAACATTCCGCCCATTGCTTACATTTTTGAAAATACTCAAATTAAGATTCCTTGGAATCCATGCATTTTAGGCACATAAGGTCTTTGGCAATATTTCTGGAAATAATTCGGAGAACATTTTTGTAAAACAAATTAACACTCAGTTGAGTCATTAAAGGGGTCCTTTAGGGCCTTCTCTTCAAAAATGTAGAAAAACTGCATTAAGATGAGGTTGTATCAGATCAAAATATTCCACAAAATTGTTCCTCATAAAATTTCACTATATGTCTCAGAACACACCGAAACTCTTAAACTTACCTACAAACCGGAAACCGTTAAAAACAAAATAAAACAACACTTTTTGGGTTAAAATCGCAAGATTCCGCCAATTTTTGAAAATACTCAAATTAAGATTCCCTGGAATCCTTGCACTTTAGGCACATAATGTCTTTGGCAACATTAGTGGAATGATTTTGGGGAATATTTTTGTAAAATAAATTAACCCTCTGTCGAGTCATTGAAGGGGTCTTTGAGGGCCTTCACATTCAAAAATGTAGAAAAACTGCATTAAGATGTTGTCGGATTACATCAAAATATTCTACAAAATTGTTCCTCATAAAATTTCACTATAGGTCCCAGAACACACCGAAACTCCAAAATGTACCTACAAGCCGAAAATCAGTAAAATTAAAAAAAACACTTTTGGGGTTAAATTCGCAACACTCCGCCCATTGTTTACATTTTTGAAAATACTTAAATTAAGATTTCTTGTAATCCCTGCATTTTAGGTATGCAGGGTGAGATAAAAAAACTGCAAGAACTTCAAACGCCATCATTTTTACAATTGTTTTTTAAATTTTATTGAATGAAAGCAAAAAATGTCGGAAATAGCATCAACTTTTAGAATAAGTTTAGAATTGTTCTAATTGGTCACCTTTGGCACGAATTATGGCCTTCAAACGGCCAATGAAACCGTCACACGCTGCCCGAATGTTGCTATGCGGTATTTTGGTCCATACCCGGCGAAGCGCTTTTTTGAGATGATCGACACCTCATTTCTTAACCATTCTTGGGTGGCGCGTGCTGTGTCCTGTTGGAATGTCTAAGGTCTGCGGCCAAATGTTTGCGTGCCCCAGGCTTTAATACACCCTCCAGAATATTTTCGCGATAATATTCGGCATTTATTCTGATGCCACGGTCGATTAATAAGAGCGGAGAGCGACCATCGGTTGTTATGACGGCCCACACCATCACCATGGTCGGCGCCAGCGCTTGAGTTCTGGTGCCCAACCGAAAGTGACCTCTTTGTCAAGTAAACATGATCATTTTGTTTGTTTACAAACTGCTGGTCAATGAATGTTTCGTCATGGGAGACGGAGAAAACCAAATTCGGCAGTTCACCACTTTCGGCCAAGCGAAGCAACTCTTTAGCTCTTTTGAGTCTATTTTCTTTCTGTCGCTTTGTAAGTTCAGTTGCGGTGTAAGTTTGTTGCACTTTTTGGAATTTCAATGGCTATACCCCGAGCTCATTTTTCAATATTTGCCGAATGGAAGATTGCGATATGTTCAGCTCACGACCTTGGACAGCCTATCGTTTCAACGTTGAGAGGGAACATAATGTCCTTTTTTAATCCTGCGTTTTTGTAGCTGCACCACTTCCGCTCCTCCTTTTATAGGGATCAGTTTCAGGATGGCGTGTTTTAGCATACCCTCGTTCTGTATTTTATCATTCCAGCGTCGTAGATGGCCATCCTTTTAATCGTCTATGTTTCTGGCGTACAGCTCATCCTAGTCTTCTACTCTAACACTTTCGTCTTAGCTGGAATTTGCGGTTATTTTCGCAGTCAACTCATCTTATTCAATTTCGGCCGTCGTGCCTTCTTCAAATTCGAATAAGTACTGCTCTGCTTCCGGGCTTACCTTTTCACTTCAGAAAATTGTTGACTTTTTGTAATTGCATGGAGCGGACACCAAAGCTTCAAGGCCATCCTCATATGTTCAGTCTTTCTTACTCTGTTCTCGGCCACTGATCTGGCTCGATGGGGGTTATACGGAAACGTGGACCTGCATTAACAGTTTTCTGCAATTGGTAGCTATTATGGATGCTTTCTTAAAACTCTTGTCTTCCCTCTATTGGTTCTAAAACCGCTGTTTAATATTTCCTATCGTTTTAATGAAATATAGCTTCTGAGCCACTGTAAATCGACTTGCCAGCACCAGCACCACCATCACGCACCAAACCAAACACGACCGACGACCATCCCGACGCCTATTTACCCAACCGCTTGCGCCGCCAGTCAGGTCTTCTGCGTCGTCTTCCCTATTCAAGGCTCCACAAATCGAATAATGAGACATGAACACAGTAACAACAACGACAACAACAAAATGAAAACATCGAAAAACAACCAAACCAAACCACACCAAACACACAGCGCAGACAACTATTTCAAATTCAGACACAAACAACAAACACGTTGTGCAAAATTACGAAGACCAAAAAAAAAAAAACAACAACTAACAAAAAAAACAAACACAACAACGAAATCACAAAAATCCAACAAAAACTGCAATTATATGGCGCCATAGTCGCATTGTTAAGAGTCGACGGAATTTTATTTGTGAGTGGAGCTAATGAGAGGTAACCGAGAGAGAGAGAGACATCCAAAATGCTGGTGTTACCGAAAGGAAGGGGAGATTTTTTGGCTGTTAAGAGAGTAGTAAAGTGAGATGTGTTATTGGGGTGTAACAGAAGCTGATGGTTTTGTGCGAATGATTTGGAGGTATTTGTATTCAATATGAGTATAAAAAGGACTTGCTATTCAAATTTCAATAATATCGAAAATCGGATAGGGGCAATATCAGAAATAGTTTTCATTCATCACTCCGCTTGTAACACCTTGAAATATAAATTTTGACCCCACAAAGTATATATATTCTTGATCAGCATAAAATTCTATATCGATTTGACGATGTCCGTCCGTCTCTGGAAATCACTCTAGCTTCGGAACGAAATGAAGTATGTTGATAAAATTTTACTTAAATGTATATTATGTCTGCAGGACTTTTGGTATTGAAAATGACCCATATAGGTCCACGTCTTCGTATAGCCCCTATATAACGTACCTCCCGATATTCGGTATTTTGATGATTTTAGCGACATTATTTACCGGAATTGTTTCGAATTTGCTATTTGAAGTTCTTAATGGATACTACAGCCTAAGACAGAAAATTGTCTGTGCAGGTCCACGTCTTCGTATAGCCCCCATATAACGGTACTTCCCGATATTCGGTATTTTGATGATTTTAGGGACATTATTCACGGGAAATGTTTCAAATTTGGTATTTGAAGTTCGCAATGAATGCTACAGCCTA